CAGAAAGTAGCTGCATGCGCATGGTTGTATCAGGGCTGTGGATGAGAGTTTGGTTTTTGCCTGCCTTGTAGAGTTGTGCTAAACTCAGCAGTTTTCAGTCTCACTGGTGGTTTCTTTGAAGATTTCCCTTGTTCTAAGCTTTGTATGAACTTTGAGTTTGGGGCTTGAGCAAACCCAGCAATTTTGATCCCTTTGTGGGGACTGTCTTGCACTTCAAGGTGGACATATGCACACAAACCGTGATGAAGTGGGACTCAGTGCAAAAAACTTCACAGAGAAGTGTGAGCTTGAAGAACTAAAACAGAGAAAACAGGAATCACTGCTTGAATCTGACCTGTGCTAGTCTGCAGTCCCTCATGTTAATTATTAATGTTGAGAAAGCAACATCACAGGCAAGTGGAGCATATAGCTTCACACTTACCAACTGTAAGGTAATTTATTCCTAAAGAAAACTTCCTTTTGACTCAAAGATGGTAGAGGCTGCATTATACTCTAGATATAAGATTTTATACCTCTTTGAATAGTTTTTTACAGCTTTTATTACCTTGTAATTTATTCTCTATTCAGATTTGTATGATACTCATGAACTTTTTTTGATCTTAAAAACCTATTTGACTTTCTGACATCATACCACAGTGTATAGTATGATGACTGTGAATGATGTAAAAAATAATAAAAACAATTATGTTCTCAGTTTTTCATCTTGTGGTTTCTTTGTTTATTGCCTTGATAATGGCTTATGAGGCAGAATTTTTTGGCCTCCTCTTGCTACATTAAACCTGTATGAACCTACATGAGAGTTCCTGTATTATCTTCCATGGTTATAAATCAACTTGGATTGGATAACAGCTGTCTGCCCATGCTAAAAACACTCACAAAGACTTGTCAGAGGGTCAGTGAAAGTTTGTAGCCTGTTGTCTCCAAAGGTAACATAATGGCTCCATCCCAGTTCAAAAATCTATGTAGCATAGAGATAGAGAATTTATCATGAAAAAGACCACAGTGCTGGAGTACTGATGAGAATGAATACAAAAAGTTACTCTTGAAAAAGCATGTTATGAAATTTCTGATGACTGCAAGTAGTAACCGTATCAGATTTATGCCTCCTCTGCAAAACATATTTGTAGAGCACCAGCAACTTTTGGGTATCGTGACATAAATAATTTTATCTGTAGAATTAGACCAGCCACTTATTAAGACAGTCTAATTTTAGAATCTAGCCATTATAGCTGTCATCAGAGTAGTTGACAATGACTATGGTATGAAAGTCAAATACATCTCTGGCATGCAGTTGCAATGCTCTTTATCTGTAGATATATGCTAACTATGTTCATTTCACTGTAACAATGTGGTCAACTTGTTCTTTCGGAAATCTGACTGGGGTGTTGATTTTTGAGCATGCGGAGGCCATTGTACATTAAATATTTGAATTGTTAGTTAGAAACTTCAAATGCTTTCAGCATCTTGTCATGAAATCATTCCCAACTGATGTAGCTATGACCGGTAGGAGACTGTGCAATGCCTTGAACAGTAGAGATCATGTTATTCCTGGGTTACAAAGACTTTCTCCCTGTGTCTGGGTACCGGGGATTTTTTCCTGTTCTGATTTCTCCAAAAGATAAGGTGAGAATCTCCTGTGTTGAAAGTCAGTTCAATCTGAACATCATCCCTCAGAGAAAGACAGAGAAACCAAGCAACTGGTCAGAAGCAGTCAGCACTGAAACACTGACTTAGAAAACACTTAGGGTCCCTGAAATACATGGTGAGTTGTACTGTCACATCTTCTCTGACATCTGAGGCAGACTTATCTTCCTTCTCTTATATTTAAGATCAGGAAGGCAAGTAGTGGTAGGAGTGGTTCAGAACTTAGCTGTGAAGGCTGCCAGATATAGGGGAAAATATATATATTTTTTTAACCTACATTAAATTACATCTTTACAATATAAGTGTCTGCATGTACACTGATTATCTAAGTTCCCATACAGCTGGAGATCGAGGCTAGACTAATCAGTTAGTGGAGTTTAGAGAGAAATTAATGTCACACTAAAGTAGTTGGCTGCTTAATTGTACCACAGATGTCATTGGCTGTATGGACAGGATCCCTGGGATTCGAACAGGAGCTAGACACCTGGCTGAAATGGAGGCACCTAAATGTAGATGACTAAAGTTAGAGGTCTGCGTCAGAAGTTGGATCTGACTTTGACTTCTTTATAATAAATGGAAAAAGTATGTGGTCTCATTTCAGCCTTTTCTTCCCTCTGGGTCTGGCAGACCTGGATAGCAGGCAAGCTGAAGTACTCAGTTTTCCACTAGCAGAGACATTAGAGAAGGTGGTCTTATTTAAACCCAGGGAAGCATCTATGTAGGATCAAGACCTGTGCTCTTCCAGATGTCCATCTTCTTTCCAACACTTGTGACCTACAGCAGGCATGAAAGCAAGTACTGAATGATCCAGGAGCTGCCTGCAGAAGCTTTATTTTACTCTAGCCCACTGAAGTGAAGCAGAGAAAGAAGGATGGGAGCTATACCAATTGCTAGGTGTTATAGTCAAAGTATTCAGCATTTTTGCCTGACTACTATTTCTTCTTTAAAAAGAGAAATCCTTAATATCAGCTGGCCTGTATCACATTTACCTTGTGTGCATGTAAAGGGGGATTATCTGTATCTTCATCAGCCTAAGTGGCCCATCCAAATCCTTCTATGAGCAGTCCGTGTAGACAGCTATGCTCTAATGGATGCACATATGTAGATAGGTATTATGGAGATTGTGTGTATAAGGGAAAGTAGATGTATGTGGTGTGCGTGTGTATATGTACATCCCTGCATGAAAACAGAAGTGATGTTGTGTAGGTGTACTCATGAATGCACAGAGTGCACACAGGTATGCATAACCATAAACAGGATGTGTGCATTTGTGGACTAGGTGAAAAAAAAAGAAAGAAAGAAAGAAAGAAAGAAAGAAAGAAAGAAAGAAAGAAATTACCTCTAAGTTGAAGGACTGAAAAGTTTCTCTCCTCCTAGATCAAGATGTACACCCTACCCTTCTCTGGGCTGCACGTGGGGTAAGGCTGGGGGAACTACATTCCCTCAGTGTTTCTGGTTTCACTGGAAGGAAACTTGGGAGCTTGTAATCCAATAAATTTCCCAATCTGCATGTTTATATAACTATATATATTTCATACAAAGTATGGATGCAAAAAAAATGAGGTATCACACCACCTGGCTGGTAGATACTTCATAACCTATCAGAATTTTAACAGCTGAAAGTTGTCGAGGTGTTGGGGCAATAGGAGTATCTGTCTAGCCAATGAATGGCAAATGGCTCAGAGGGCTAGGCTAAAAAATATACAGCACCACCCTGAGGCTTTATAGGCCTAATGAACCTGCTTGGTGTCACAGTCTCTAAACAACCCTTTGCAAGCAGTTCTTTACTTTTTTCTGGTAACAGCTAATGGCTAGGAAAAAAAAAACAAACTAAAAAAACTATCTTCATCATGTCATTTAACTATCATACAGTTCAACTACCTTCTTCTCCATGAGTAAGAGCTAGCAGTTTTGTAAGCTCTGCTTTCAGAGGCCAAGGATGAAGACACTGTGGAAATTAATCTCTCTTCTTCCCTTCTCCAGAACAGAGGTGCCCCTCTACAACTAAATAAAGTACCTGCTGGCTGGTAAGTATATGTTCAAGGGCTGTGGTCTGCCATATTCAACTGTTCAGTGCAAAGAAGGAACGATCTTGAAGTGAATTCATATGCTCTCACTTCGGAGAGCTGGAATTTAAATTTGCAGCCTCATTTATTCCCCTCTGTGGTCAAGGTAAAGACAGGAGAACTTCCAGCATATTTTATCATACCTATCTTTGATAAATACATTAGATGACCCCACTAGCTCAGAATGGCCCTCTGGAAGTTCCTGCCGCTCTCTTGACTGTATCTGGCACATAGCCTAAAGCAAAAAATGTATAGTTGGGCAGAAACTCCTGAGATAATAAATCTTGCTGGTCCAAAGCCATTTATACACTTTCATCAACAACTTGGATAAACTTCCAATAATGTGTGGATTTGATGCGCGTGCCCAGTAAGTCCTCATCTCTATTACAGCTTCTTAGGCTGTCTACACCAGCACATTTAATATTGCTACGGCTTGGACCCAGGCACTGAGTCTAAACATGCTAGTAAATTTTTAGCAGAGTTTCTGGCACAGTTATGGTCTGAGTCATCCAGCTTCCAGACCATTCAAAGGCATTGTTCAGGAATTAATGCAGTGAAATCATTCCCAGCAGGCAGTCTGCTTTGAAGCCAATCTGCTTTGGAGGCTAAAAAAGTAAACAGTGTGGACATGATGAGATAGTGTCAAATGGTCTTGGTAGCAAAGAAGAGGCTCTGGCACTTTTTAGTTAATTGGTAGGGATGCGGCCAAAGTGTTCCTCCTTTTATTGCTATTTTGATTCATCTGTACTGTCATAGTGGCTCAGCTTGAGTCTCCACACTTCTGCACCATCCACATTGTTTTTAAGGTGCCTTGTGATTTGGTTTGCATTTAGAGCAAGACAAATCTCTGGCCAGCTGGGGAGATTTGGCCAGAGGCTGTAAGAAAGAACTGGCTCCAGTTCAGACTGGTCCTAGAAGCGGGGTACATGCAACTAGCTTCAACCATATTTCTGGACAAACATGAGCTTTTAATAAGCACAAATAACAGATTATATACATAACCTTAGCCTTCTAGGCAAGGGAATAAATATCTCTATATTATCATAGGCAGTCTTTAGTTCAAAACGCAGAAACAAAGTATCTACCAGATGAAGGACTTTGCCACAAACTACATATAATGTCTCTTCTTCATCTCCCCTCCCCTTTTACCAAAAGTACCACTTCTGTGCAATTGTTCCACTTTCAAAGTCGTACCTGAAGTGTGTTAAATGTCTCTGGATGTCGAGGTCTAATATTGGAGTTGGTCTGGAGGATCCAAGAGGTGATCTGTCTTGACTCAGAAGGTCTTGGAATTCTTTACATATTTGTCTAAAAGGAAAGGGGAGATCCTTAAATAACATAAGTGTAATCCTTCTCACAAAGCTGATTCTCACCTTTAGTTTGTAACAATTTCACCTTTTCCTCAGTAGTCTCCTTCATAACAGAAATGTTTGGCAGAGGAAGTGATAAAAGGAACAAAGACAAAAGAATCTCCGCCCCTCCCTGCCCTGAATTCTCAAAGCCAGCAACATAAATAACCTCTTGAAGACTTTGTTTTGGAAAAAGAAATAGTTCATACCTGAAACCATGTTAGTATTGACATTTTAAAGTGTGATTTCCCTCCTGGATTGTACGTAGTTTGACAACTTAAGTCAGACTTAGCTCACCTACACTGGAAGCAAGGCTTATGGTTAAAGAAAATGATTAGCTAGCGTTAGAACATGCCTGAACAGTTTGTGCAGATACATTACTGCTTGTGCATTTGCTTGTGTTCATTGGTTTACCTGTATGTAAAAGGCATAGCAGTTCTGGCCTTGAGTTGTTGAGCCCTAATTCTAAAGTGAAAAGCAGCATGGGAATCTGTGAGGGAAAACATTCTCTTTGCTTTTCCTGTTCCTGACTGTGTCCATACTCTGCTTTCTTGTGGTTCTTGGGCAGAAAAAACAACGGCCCTTCAACTGACTCCTCTCCCAGAAGTCTGTTCAGAGTAAGTATTCCTTCCAGTAACAACTATTTTAGTTTCCTATTGAAACTTTCTTTTGTTGTTGTTGTTATTATCATTTTACATTTATTTAGGTAGGCTGAAGTAGGTGTCTATAACAGCCTGGAGGACTCACATTCTAGTAAGGCCTCTTTCTCTCCAGGGATTGTAGTCACTGAGCTGAGTGACTTGCTCAGCTTTCAGTATCTACACATTAAATAGGCACAGGTAGGTGAGACAAATCCCGTTATCTCTCCTTTTTATCTTTCTTGGTTTCATGTACAATGCATAATTTCAGTAAGCAGGATCTGGGACCCCAATTCTTTCCCTTGTAATGGGAAACTCAGGCTCTGTCTTCCCGGATCTCCCAGCTGCATGGCAGTCACATTTCTTCAGGAAGGATGGACAGTATTGCTGTCCTCCATCTCCCTGGGGTATGACATAAGGGATATGGGACCTAAAGCTAAGAGGGACTGGAAAATAGGCTTTTTCATTCTTGCAATATTTCTTATTGGCCTCTTCTGCAAATAAGCTAGGAAAGTGCTACCAGTGCATTATTTTGGTTTAAAACAGAAACTAAACTGATCCATATGGTGCATGTCCTCAGGTGAGTGCTATGCTGCTCTCTGGACCATAGATGGATAGAGATATCACTTATTTCCGATTGATTTCTGATACAGTAAATTAAAAAAAAGGAGAGGTGTCCGGATCTCTCTCTCAGGAAGTCTCCAAATGGACACACCATTCTCCTTTGACTTCTGGAAATGTAGACACTTATTGTGGAATCAGGAGGGCATAATGCCCACCAGATGATCAGAGCACTCAACTAGATTGCCCTGAGCTAAATGCCTAACATATAGACACATCTGTTCTTGTGTTAGAAATCTAATCCTGTCATAGTAGCTACATGTGCACTAATAAACTAAACAGTGCCATGGGTTGTCCTCAGGTCCTGAGTCTAATTGTCAGCATCTGATCAGGTTCATATGTTTAAGCTTTCCTAGCCTGCTAAGCAGGATGACTGCATCCAAACTGACTCATGATCCTGGTCTGGGCTATCTCCCAGAATGTACCCAGAAGCTGTTTGGGAAGGTTCCAGGCACCATTCTAACATTTTAATAATATAGACTATAATAGTCTTATTCCCCAACTTGTGCATGGTTTACTTTGTCAGTATAGATACAACCACTGTGTCTGGGTTCAGCCTCTAATACTAAATAAAAGAACTGGGGTCTTTCTGGTCCATAACTTCTGCTAGAAGAATCTTGCTTTGCATATCTGGTCATAAAGTTCAAGTCCTTGGATAACCCCTCATAATGCTTGCCCTTTAGGACAATGGCATAATGGAAAATGAGTGGGTGAACTTCTTGGTCTTTAGAAGGCCCTGCATTACCCAGTTAGAAGCAAGGAAATTCCACAGACCTGCTTCTACTATTCATTATATCACTGTTCTTGTGCAAGGTTTGGACACAGACTTTAACACCACAACATCCCTATAGGAGAAAAGATGCAGAAAACTATTTCCTGCTGTGCCACTGGGCTTCATCCAAGCCTAATTTCTGTAAATGATTGTCATCAGTATGGACCTAAACACCAGCTGCTTGAAAAGGAAGCATCATCTTAGCCTTTCAGGCAAAGAGAGGTATTCAGCAGAAATGTATGTAAATGCAGCATACAGTTTTAATGAATGAGGTCCTTAGAGGAAAAACAGTTCCTTTTAACAACTGAAAACAGTCAGTCACTTTGGCTTCTAAACAATCTACTATCCCCAGACGGCCCTGTCAGCATCGCTCCTTGAGAAAGTTCGTCTTACGAGTTCTTATATTTTGACAAAGGAAAGTGTCAGAACCAAGCATTCAATTAAGTTCCTTTCCATCTTCACATGTCAAAAGTCTTTACTCAGTCTTTCAAATTGAAAGAAGAAAAAAAACATTTTTGTATTATACATGAAAACCTGCAAAAGGCAGTAACCTACTTTTTCAAGGGGTTTTCTAGGCAAAGTGATGTCTCATTGCCTCCACTGTGAATAAAACATTACCTGGGGTAGGTCCGGGGGGTGGGAGGATAGTTATTAGCTCTGAAATGGACTGTGGCTTTGCATAAGCAAAGGAACATGCTTATGCTGTCTCAGGAGCAGCATAAAAAAAAGTAGGAAAAAAGTAGGAGTAGGAAAAAAAAAATCTAGCCACCTCTGCAAGGGAGGCACCTGATTTTTCATAGATGGGCAGATGCTCCAAAACAGGATCATGAGAAGATAAGAAAGGCTGTAGTGGATCAGATCAAGAGCCCATATAACGCATTTTCACTAGCAGTGGCCAAAAACACATAGTGAAGAGTATGAGAATGAGGCAAATGTGTACTCATGAGTCAAATGTATTCCAAGGGTGTCAAACTTTCCTTGCACTCAAAGATCAGACATCAGAGAGGTGCTCAGCAAGTCCTGTCCATCCTGTCTCAGAGCTACTTTTCATAAAAGCAGCCCATTGAATACATCGTGTCATGAGTATACCATAAATCCACGAAGTTCCTCACTAGTGAGAAAGCAGTGGGGTGCAAACACCAGAAAATGAAATATGTATGTGCTGTACACTGAACAGCCATCTGCACAGATGCTAGTTATCCTGTACTAGTGATAAGCAAACTCACAACAAAACCACTATTCATACTAATCTGTTCTGGTGTGTGTAAATGTGTGTGAATCTGGTCCTCTCTCTTATGTCAAAGGCCTTTTGCTGGGATACTCTGTGATTTTCTCCCTTAGACGGGGTGCCTCTTCATCAAGTGGTATGGCCTTCAGCAATTCCATCTCTGCCTTTGCTGCAACTTGCTCAGGTTCTGTCCTGTGTTGTAAAGTCACTCAGGGTCTTTCCCAGACCTCTGCAAGGTGAACAAACTTAAAGTTCCTCTAAATCCATACCCTTTTGCAAGAATCAGTATTAGCACATGTTGTCCAGAATTATGACAGTTCCATCCTTATTTTGAAGCATATTGCCCTGTAGTACTCAAACAATCATGTGCTCAGTCAATGGAGATGCATGGGGAGAAAGGGAATATTAGGAGACAGGCTTCTTCATTGCTTTTCCTTTTCTTATCTATGCAGCTCTTAATCAAAGCTTGCTTTTCTCTCATCCTGTCCTTGCTGTCACTTGTGTTCAATACTGTATACTAGCTGCACAGCCCAGTCATCTCTTCCTGTGACTATCATCAGGTAAGCCTACTTCATCACCTACACCATCAAACTATTACAATGGGCCATGACATCATCTTGGCCCAGACCAGCCCCCACTCTCCTCAACAAAGTACTGTGTTAGAACAGATGAGGGAGCGTTTCCAAGAGGTAGTTCTGGAAGGTAAACTAGTTTAACGTATCGAATATATTTTATTCTATGACAGAAAATGGTCCTGGTTTCATTCATTGTACTAGTATCAGCATAGGCTCAGACCAATTAGTGCTGAGCAAGGCAGTAAAAAGGAGCGTTGCCGCAAATTTAGTGCCCTGCTGGATTAAAGAAGGCTATTGCCATCTAAAGGAGCAGTCTCCAGTCCTCACTAGTTCACAGACCACAATTCTGTGCAAGGTAGCTGAATTACATCTAGTCAGGGTGGACGGACAGCTCACTGGGAACTTTTAGTGCTTGGTAGATATTCCTGAACTGTAGATATTAATGGCTCTATTTAGCTGCCCGTGGACAAATCTGTGGTACCTGAGACATCCTTAAGAACTTGCAAATGTAACGCAGTAACGAAAGGAGCACCGTGCTTTTTTTGGAGCAGCAGCTAGTAACCAAGATGGATAACCTAGCTCATCTCAAACGGCAGTAGGTACCTGTATTTGGACAACTGAAACAAGTCCCTGAAGTTGGATATCTGAACCCAGAACCGAATTTCAGCTCTATGCTAGGAATTATAGAAATATTTTTGTTCCTTCCCCTTATTTTTCCTCAAGACCTCCAAATTTGGACGATCTCACCAACTCTGCCAAAGGCACACCTTTAAGGGCTCCTCACTCTGTGCCACAGAAGGCAATGGCAACACACACAGGCAATGACACGCCACTCCTTTCCATAGGCAAAGATTGCCTGAGGTAGTTTTACTACCCTGAAATGTCAGTGTCATTTCTGTTGACAGCATAACAATCCACTTCCTTTTCTGGAGTCATAACTCACAAGGGCAACTATGAACTTAATGAAAATTACAAACCTAGAGCTGATATAGACCCACTAAAAAATTGCAAGTCCAGACAAATAACTAAAATAAAGTACCTACTATCAAAGAAGTGAAAGCATGTCTTGGAAGTATGATGCTAATATTTTGACACTATGGACCTGTGTCTCCTGTTCTCTGAATAAAGCTGGTCTGGTGAAGTCACTGTTCTACTTCCAAGCAGGAGAGGGCAGTAGTAGCACACACATTGGCCCGTCAGTCTCCTATGAAGGAGCGCACTCTAACTGCGGTAGCACATGGCCTCTCCTAGCATTACCGATAGACCTCTCTGAACAATTTGCTGGTGTTTTGGAAGTGGGAAAAAAGACATTTTATCCCCTGAAAATGGAGGATAGCAGCCTAAAAGCCCGAAGTTCATGGGTGTTTGGAGTAATGCGTGCCCAAGACTGCCCACCTCGGTAGTAAAGGAGGGTGGGAAAGTAGGTATGGAGTGATGGAAAAGGGTAGCCAAACTCTTATGTGTCCCTCAATAGGACATCCTTTGGAGGCATGAGATCACAGCCACCCACTGATGATAACAGTGAGTAGCAATGTGCTCTCTCTCTAGTGCCAGACAAGAAAGGAAGAGACCTATATCTTCAAGGCTGAGTTACAGCATCTCCTGGGGCAAGCACTCAAGTGCGGAAACTTACAATCTTAACCTTTGCTTAGCATCCAGAAGTACAATCCACCTCTAAATAGTTATAGGGGAGCTGATTGTAAAATAACTGTGCAAGAATGGAGAGACACAGCTTTCGGAAGAGAGATGTGTTTTGCCAGTTGGTTCATTCTGATGCCTCTGGCCCTGAGCCCTGAGCCCTGAGCCCTTCAAGCAAGAGTAGCAGTAGGTAAAAATTAGATCATATTCCACTCATATTATTCTCTTTAACCTACAAAGGACTTAGAAGCATGATGAGTGAAGTCTCCCATCAAGCTCAGAACACCCAAAAGCCCTCTGAGCCTCATGCACTCTGCTTTCGACTCAAAGAAGAACCACAGGCTGCACTCTTGGCATTCACAAGCCTGAAGGGTTTCAGTATACGTTGTCTCTGAGTCACCTTGAGGGCAAAGAGCTCTAGACGCAAGAGGAACACCAAGCCGCCACAGTGTACAAGGCCAGAAGTCCTTTTCCCTACCAGAACACAAAGTACAGGGACATCAGGATGCCAGGGACAGTCCCTACAGTTGCTGGCCATCCCCACCCTAGCAGACTGATTACCCCCTACTGGTTATATCTAGGCCTAGATCATCTCCAAACAGTACTAGCACTGGGGGAGGGAGGTGAATGACAGTTCAGAAGCTCTGGCTTCCGGCCCAAGCTTTCCTGCAGCCTCCCTGCATAATACTGCGGTAAGCTCATAAAGAGTATGGTTATGTTCAAGGGTACCCCATGCAGGCATACTGCACACCCCGTGTGGGTTTACATTATGCCACAAAGACTAATTATCCCTGTTTCCCAGGGATCGTGAAGGTTAATTCCTCCCCTCATCAAGGCTAATTAAGCTAGATGAAGTGTTATCCTAACATGATGTTACTGCTCCAGGGAGGTGAGTGTCTTGTTTAGAGCTAAGTCTCTGCGTGTCTTTAATGACTTTAGCAAAGCTCCCCTGCTGCTGTACACTGTTCTAGCTCCAGTAACTTCAGGAGAACTCTTGCATTTTCCGCCAGAGAGTATCTGCCCCTCTGCAGACCAGCTCTCCCTCAGCAGACTTACGATAATATTCTAATAGTACTTCAATAGGTGCTAAGATCTACTCATATATCAAGACCTTGTATTTGCTTCTCTGCAAACAAGAGGTAAAACCAGGATGTTTTCTATAGCTCTTAACATGCAATAAAGCCCCCTTCAGTAACCTAAATCAAATGATACACCTAGTCTGAGAAGATGCACGTGTGGCTTAAGCTCATGCAATTACAGTGTAGCCACTAGAACCTTATTACAGTCAATAAGGTTCCTCTTACAGTGTCTCTGAAGAGGCATTCTCTCATTTTCTGTCACTGTTGTGATAGCTGTCATCATAAACCCAACTCCTTACTCCCACTCCTCACCTCCCGCAGCCCCCAGATTCAAAATGAAAAAGTGACAGACAGATTCCTTTTTTAGTTCAACATTATTTTTTTCCCTCCCTTCTTACTTTGTCGCTAGGATCATCTTTTTCCTTGCTGTCTGCTCTTTCTGTTCCATGTGCTGTCTGGCAATGTGCTCTCCTACCGCCTTGGCAGGGAATTCTGTTTCACAGGTGTAGCCGAAATCTCTGGCCAAATGTAACGCTTCCCCTGTGGGAAAACAAAAAGGATCAGTCATTTTTTAGGGTTTTTTGTTTGATTGGTTATAGAATTTCTTCTGCTATTGAAAGAAAAAGAAATAAAAAGAAAAATGACAAGTCACTTTTGTAGCCATGCATCCCAAACCCAGTACAGGTTTCAACCCGTTTGGCCTGCTTATACTAAGTCATCAGACTTAGCCACTCAGAAGAGAGAAGGGGTATTCCCGTCATGAAAAAATACCATTCGGGACACCTGGGTTCAACTCCCTCCCTTGCCACCAGCGTACTGAGCAGCTGGTCAAGTTTTGTAAGCTTAGATCTCCATTAGTATTTAAGGCATGGAAATTACTGGGAGGTGGGAATAAACCTGAAGAGTTGAGTCTTTGGTGCCTCACTTCCCTTTATATAAAGGAAGAAACACCTTCTACCTCAGGAAAGTGTTGTGGAGATAATGAATACAATTCAGTGTATTTGCTCAGTGGTAAATTTAAGTCAGTAGGCACTATACAAGCCCACTCTAAAGATGAGCAGACCTCTAAGTAGAGCACAAGAAGCAATCCTATTTCCAAAAAGCTTGCAATCAAAATTGACCAGATAGATCAAGAGAGAAGGCCATGCATATCAGAGTCCCTATTTTATATGTTGGGAAATCAAGGAAAAGGGAGTACCTGGCTTGGCTAGGCTTTCTGAGACGTCTGTGGCACATCAGGAACTGAATGACTCCCTACCTCAGGTGTAGAGCCTGAACATTATAACCCATGTCTGTGATGGGTGTCAAACACTTTTGGAAGTACCTGCCTGCTTCCACTGAGAACTTAGGGAATCTAAACCTCTAGTTTAGGATTAACTCGACACTCATTGGCCTGTGTTCTCTCACTCTGACACCCCAGTGTGGGATTTATGTGATCAAACATAGCTGCATCCAATGTGATCATCTGCTGCACCTAAGTTAATCTTTCTCTGGAGGGAAATAAGCTTTTCCAAATCACACTTTCTCTTATCTCAAAGTGGAAGCCAGAAACAGATCAGCTGACCAGAGGTGTATGCTGAAGCACATCTGTGTAAGGGATTGCCAGAGATTTGCTCCAGAATAGCTGTAGTTTTAGAATCTTTCTCAGAGGTGTATGTGTAAGAGCAAAAATGAGAGGTGTAATTGGAAGCTGGACTTTTAGAAAGCAGATTAATGCTCTGAGACAGTTAGGAGTGATGCAGGACTTGTAGTACCCTCCTTCGAGAACACCTTCAGTGGAATTCATTTGACTAAATGTCAGTATTGACATCTGAGGTGGGACTCCCTGGTCAGCACAGATAAACTGTCACTCGAAGCACATATCCTATGCTAAAGTAGAAGGCAAAAGTGGACTAGATGAATCACGGAAAAATTCAGATTGGAAGGGACCTCTGGAAATCATCTGCTCCAACCTTCTGTTGAAAACAGGGCATTCAGTTAGGTTATCCAGGCCCTTTTCAAGCCTAGTCCAGAATATTTCCAGAAATCGAGATTTCAGCCCTTCTCTGAGCAACCTAATCCCATATTTAATTATTACTAACCCAGAGGTGCTGATTTCTCCCTATTGACTGCAATGGGACCTGAGATGACAGGAGTAACTATGATAGAGATGCTAACATGATATAGACTATGCACACTATATATATGCATATAAATACATATAAGCATGTAAATATGTGTGTGTATATGCATATAGCTCTTATGACATATGGAATAGGTATTCTAAACTGCAACCACAAATTTCAAATAAAAATACAAATCTGGACATGAAAATACTTTATGGAACATGATTTCCCATACTTCACTGTTGAGCAAATATGTCACTTTCAACAAAGACCAGATGACATTGTATTTAGAATTGGATTGTTATATTTCTGTGCATATTATTTATTAATCTCAGTGAACAGAGATCCTTTGCACAGTGAGAAATTAGCCTGCTTAGCGGGGGGAAGTAACTTGCATAAAATGTTATAAAAGATGTTCTTCCTTTTTCTTCATCAAAATTTTGTCAAACTTTTTTTTTAGTTTGGGAAAGTTTAGGTAGGGCAAAAGCAGAAATGTGGGAAATGTTGATCAACTGACCTCTTCCTTCTCACCTTCCTCTGGCTTGTTACTGTATATGTCAGGGAAGAGTCACACTAAAGGTAGAATCTCCTAAAATCCCAGGGTTTTGTAGTCAGTTGCCTCATTTCAATGCAAAACCAAATTCCCCTACTTGCAATATCCCCAGCTCTTTCCTCCCCTAGAGACAAA